TCTTGACTAGTAACGGGACAATTCGTGCGAGGCTTTTGGCTACACGCTTCGAGACATACGTCCCAATTTCTGAGTGTTAATGAGGAGAAACCGAGTGTCGCTGCCTTGTTCCTTCCGAAGACAGAGTGACTCGGCCGAGCCACGTTGTCGGGTGCGTCTGCAATATATGTGCGCGTTGCGAGTGCGAGGTTTTAGCGTTTTGTGTAAAGGCGTACTCCAAGCATTCCGGTCCCAGGTTCGTACCTTCAACTACGAGCCTTTACATTATAGTACCTCGCAACCACACGAAACGAAGTACGAATTTCGAAGCAAAAGGCAGAATAAAACAATGTATCCTCTTTTTCTAAAGTTTTCATTTCTTTTTTTATTCTGGGGCTATATATATCAAGGTACTCTGTTACGAGAATGGCCGCGGAACCCCGCTTGTCTGCTGGGCGCCACTTCGACCCGCAGCAGATGAATAGCGAGGATGGGCCGCCGTATAACCTGCAGCGACCGCGCTGCGTGCATGGCAGGCAGGCAGGGGCCGCTGCGTCTGCATGTGCATGTGCAGAGTGCAAGCGGCGGATTTTTTCTTCCCTGCGCCCGGTAGGCGTGTCTGGCCGCAGTGGGAATAGGACTTCGAACAGCTCGGTGAATTAATTGCGAGGCCTTCGGACTGTTGTTTGTTGGCCGGTCCGACTTTTTCGGCCGGGGCTGCCTCGCGGTGTCTCGGGCTGGCCGTCATTAATCCCGAACCGCCGCCGCCGCTCGGCTTTGCCTTGGCTCGGATTGGCTTCGCCTCGTCCAGTCCGTCTTTTCGGCTCTCTGCTGCGCGGATCCCTCGGCGGGAGAAGAAGAAGGGACGTCGAGGTGAACGGTCACGTGCGGAACCCGGCGCTGGAGGAGGAAGGAGACGAGGTCCTGGGAAGATTCCCCAGGGCTATGCTCTGCCCCGCTGCCGCGCGCGGAGAATAAATGCGCCTAGAAAAAGAGTACAGCCGAGGGAGTGGCACGGGCGGGCGGACACGCACGCACGCACACGGGCTGACGGAGAGTGAAAAATGGGCGGCCATTGTGCCCCGGCGTGCTGTTGCAGCGGCGGACTCGATCCCCAGGAGTGTCCGTGAGTGGGCCCATAGACCCGCGCCGTGCGGGGTATCGCCGGTGCCGCCGGAGCTTGGGTTACGCTCGGTTACGAGACGGGGGAGGACGGGGTCCTTCCGTAACAGAACCAGGTTTCGTTCAGGTCGAAGCTCGCACCTCGCGTACGTTGTCCTGTCTGTGGTGGTGAGGCCGTGGGCACCGCCGCCTCAACCAGCCCGAAGACTGGCAGGCTCCAAATGGAATGAGGAGCGATGTCTCCCGAAGCAGATGAAATGGTTGGCAAGGCTAACTCCCGAAAGAACGTGCTTCGGATGGCCCAAGCCCTAATTATAGTCTTGACGGGGTGTTCACTGATGTGTTCTTCCCGTCCGGTGGTTGTGCCATCGTTTGCTTCTATATTTTTTTTCTCGTGTTGGGGTCTATACCAATACAAACACAACGAATCGTGCAGATGAGACTGCAAAGTAGGCTAACTGATATACACCTTCGGCTACTGGACGGCCGCTTAAGCGCTTTCTTTAATTTTTCATCAAAGGGAAACTGCGCGAAATATTTGAGATATAAAAAGAATAATAAACTTTTACTTATTTATTATTTTAGTAAATCTAACCAGAAAGCTTTCGCGCGCCCTCTTTACCATTTGTGATCGGCGAAGTGTCACCGAACACGGTAACTCTATATATGTACACCGGCCCTTCCGCCGCGGCTTCGCGAGGACGGAGCTTCAGCGTCACCGCGCGCGTGCACCGCGCGACTGTTTCTTCGAACGGTTGCATGCTGCGACGGGGCGCGGGCGAGACGGCGGAACGAGCCATCGATCAGGACCGGCTCGAGTCGGACATGGTGCGGTCCTGCCTCCGCTGGAGCGCGTGCACGGAATGGGAACGGGTCGGTCGCCCTCCGGCCGAGGGCCCCGCCGCGAGATCGTTTGCTGCGCGTCGTCCGACTCGAGGAGGGGACCCGCGGCTAGGGGACGGCGCCGATTCATCTGGTCACCATTTGTCCGCGGTCGTGTCGGGTTACGGCCGGCCGCTGACGGTGCCGCCCCCTTCCGGAACCGTGGGAAGAAGGGCCCTTTTTCGCCGTCCTGACCGCGGGACGAGGCCCGAGTCCCTTTATATAGGGGGGCGGTGCGCAGAGCCCGGGCGCCTTTGAAAGACGAGCCCGTTGCGTGGGTCGTGCCGGTGGGTGTCGGTCGGGGTTCTGGTATACTGATGAATTGGTAGAAGAACCAGCTCGTGCTACTCATTTGAGTGACGGGTGAAGGAACGGGCTCTGGGTATCCGGTCCTCTCCTTGTTTATCCACCTGCTGAGGTGTAGATTGGAGTCGGAGGCGTCTTTTCGGAGCCTCTTGCATCCGAAGTAAAAATTCGTGATACCTTAAAAAAAAGAACTGCTTGTCTGTGGAATGCCGTATAGCCCAAAGGCACACTGTAAATGCGTCGCATTTATAGATCCTTCATGATGCCACCTGACGGCACGATGTCACGTGACACCATGACTTTACAGTGCTACGTGATGACCGTCACGCTCATGACGTCACGTCACCATCGTGGTGATGTTCGAGTCACGAGGTCGCGTGAACACCGTGGCGCCATCAGCTCGACTTCGCCATCGAGGCTACATGCCACGTACGAGAAAGCGCTAGTGAGTAAAAGAGAAACGAAACGTGACATTAGTTGAAACTTCACCGATGTAACCGTGATAAGTGACGTGGTGCGTGACCCAATGCGAGACAGAGTAAAGGGCACGCAGGCGGAGGGCAGGCGGCATGCTTGCGGGGAGTGCACGTAGCCAGGATTTTGTTTTGGAGAGGGGGGGGGGGGGGGGGGGGGCACCGCCGCCGCCCATGTAAAGATGCTGTATGAGGGGGAGGGGAGAGAGTGGGTCCCAGCAAAATGGAAGATTTCGGGGGTGGGGGGGGGGGGGGGTGGAAATGAACACCTTCCCCACAAGCAGGCATGTAGCGACGGGAGGCCGGGCCCAGGGAAGGTGTTGATTTTCCTGCAATGGTGTCGTTTAGTTGACTTCGCAGTAATTGACTCAACCAAGCAGTGATGCATATATACCTTTCCAAAAATCTTCTGCGCGATGCCAATCTTTGTCTGCTGGCCTATGGAACGCCTTCTGGGCATGCGTTGTTGATTATTATAATGCAATTAAATGCAAAGGAGCAAGCGAGCTGGACAAGAATGACGAAAATAATCCCTGGAGAAGGGGAACAAGGGGGACAAAGGACAAACATAAACCTCCAAACACAGCTAGGTGACTGGTGCGCGACCGAAAAAATCCGCCTGGTCCGGTGACTGGTGCGCTCCACCTGTAATGGAGAGGTCCCGGGTTCAATACCCGGACCAGGCGGATTTTTTCGGTCGCGCACCAGTCACCTAGCTGTGTTTGGAGATTTATGTTTGTCCTTTGTCCCCCTTGTTCCCCTTCTCCGGGGATTATTTTCGTCATGCGTTGTTGCTCGGGTGTCCGCTGTGTCAGGCGCTGCGCATGCGTCCAGAGCTCAGCGACTCAGCATTTTTCGCCCGGGTGATAAGCGCTGAAAAGGTCTATACAGGGTGTTTTTTAACCCTTTTCTAGGTTTTAACGATTTGTTTAAAAAAAAGTGAAAGCTACACTAATGCGATCTGTGCAGGTGAGTTAGATAGGGCCAGGGGTACATTAAATAGAGAGAAAATTGTGGCGATAAGTCTGCTAATTAACTAAAATTTGTTCATTAAAGTTTTAGTCATTGAAAATAAACATATGGCTCCAATTAGAAACTTGCTTAGCGTCAGCGGAAACCACTAAATTGGTAATTTTTAGAAAGACTGAGCGCGTGATAAGCGCAGTAGTGCGCTCAAAGTTACCGATCGTGCGACAAACACAAGCCTGGCGGTAAAAAAAAAAAAAAAAAAAAAAAAAAAAAAGACACGTATGATAAGAGACTGAAAAATAGCGCAGGCACGTTATCGCCCGCCTTGCTCTTGCTGCATGGGTGATAAATTTGGAGCTCCAAACGTGCTGCCCGCGTGCTTTAAGTTTTTTTCTTTTTTTTTTTTTTTTAGATTTGCTGATTTAGTGATTTTCAGTGGCGCCCAACAAGTTTCTAATTGAAACCAAATGTTCATTTTCTGTAATTAAGAAGTTATATAACGTGTCTTGGTTATTTATTCGGCTTATTGGGACGATTAGCCCCTATATTATGACTCCCTGGCCGTATAACACACCTGCACAAATTTTCTCGGTTCGAAAGGAACTTGCCCTAATGAAAAAAAATTGAGCTTCTTTAATCTCCCCACCCCCTTTCCCATCACAGAGTAGCCAGCCTGGACAATTCCCCAGGTTAATCTCTCTGTCTTCCTCTTCTGTTGGTCCTTCCTCTTAACGAATAAGTGTTTGTTCTTTTAACTAGGTTTCATTAATATCATACATTTGGGTCGAAATATTTGCGCGTAGGATTAAGAAGGAAAAATAATTGTTTTTCGTTCCGTTTTGCACAAGAGTCTCACAAGTTCGAGTTTTTCGTACCCTCGCGAGGTCGTCCCTCGTGGCTGCGGTAAATGAACGCGTTTTCCAGGTACGCAGTTGCTTAGAGCTCTCCGAGCAACTAAACGAAACGCCTTACTTTGATTTTTTTTTTTTTTTTTGCATTCGTTTTTTTTTAATGAACATTTATCTCACCGAGGTTTTTAATTTTTGCATTCGTTCTTGTTTTTTTACGAACATTTATCTCACCGAGGTTTTTAAGTAGTGAATGCGCTATTAACACTAATTAAACAATATATATATATATATTTGTATTATTATTATTTTTATTATTTTTGCGAGTGAAATGAACCTTAGTTTATTGCGTCGAATTAAAGTTGACGCTTATAGGGATGAGCGCGAAACTCAGCAACGTGTATTTGTGTTCTTCTCGCAGGAGGACCCACTAAGAAGAGGCTGAGGAAGTCGGATTTGATGGCGTCGCTGGAGGGGCCGGCTGCAGGGGCCGATCCAGACCTCTGAGCGCCCTCACACGGTGAGTATACGAGGAACGCTCAGAGGAACGCATCTCCCTGGGAAGCAGACTGAGAGGAAGGGGTCATGAATTCAGAGCGCTCATTCGCGTTTCAGATCACAGCTTGGGGGACTATATGGAATTTTTCAAAGCATAAAATTTTTTTTAGACGAACTTTTTTTCCTTATCCTTCTCCCCCCCCCCCCCCCCCCCCCCCCCAAGTCCAAAATGGTGTCCGTGCGTCCTTCTGTCCGTGTATTTCCCGCTAAATTTAACTAGGAAATTGATCTCACGTGACCTTTACACCGAGTCAGTTCCCCACTGAGCGGGGATATTAATAATAAAATAAAGGTTCTTCATCACTCTCGAAACGATTGTTTAATGTCTTCCGAACAAATTTAAACGATCACTCCTCAAATGCAGCATTTCATGTATGATATAGCGTTGCGGATAGAGGCCGCTGTTAATTTTGTTCACGTTTATTGTATGCAGTTCACTAGCGTTTTCAACTGGCCCTGGCTTATTACCAATCAGTGTTGTACGGAACGGCGTTCCTGGAACGCGTTCCTTTTAGGAGGAACGAAGGAACGCCGCCGTTCCATTTTGCATCGCTGGAACTGGAACGGGAACGCGTTACATTTTTACTGGAACGGAAAGAGTAACGGCGTTCCTTTTTTTCGCCCAGTAGAGTCATTTTTATTTTGTTTCGAACAGGGAAATTTTGAAAGTACAAAAACGTTATCATTACGAAGTGCAGGATCTCGGATCTCGTTACCTTTTTGGATACTAATATTGTGGATTATTTTGTGCAGTCCTCCCTTGCTAACAGTTTCGGGTGCAGGAGAGCTGGTCGACATTGATTCTTTTTTGAGTTCCCAAAACCGCGGTACAAAAAGCAAGGCTTTTAGTCGTAGGAAAAGACAAAGAAAGAGGGTTGTTTCAAGCTCAGCTACTTTCTTTGGTTCCACGAATCCTCATACACCCAGAAATCTAAGGCCGACTACAGCTACTTGTGAACTTCCATAACGGGGCCTACAGTTACAGCAAAATCACAGACTGCCAGACATCGAACGCACCCTTGTATCCCGAACATTGGTCACTTAAAAGATACAAAACAAAAAAAAAAGCATTATTTCTTCTCTTGTCCCCCCACCTTCAAAATGAACAAGAAAGCCAACCTTACAAAGAAGTATTTGTAGTTTTTAAGACTGACCTTCCAAAAGCCCTATCCTCTCCTCCACTTGCTCGTCTTGCGGACAGCAGCATCGAGAAGCAACTGTTGTTAAGTTCGAACATGGGACTTTGCTCCATTGAAACGTGTGAGGTTGCTGTAAAACGCTCATACAATGTTGGGTAAAAGTACATTCGGCTCGTCTGAATTGTCCACTACAAACATGAATATGGTTAAAAGATGAGATTTTTAATTTGAATATATCAACAGATGAAACCCTGCTTCCGCTTGTTTTCTTCTCCTGTTGCCCTTCCATAACGACATACAAACTCGTATGTTGACTATTAATGGGATAAATAAAAAAAATTCCGCTTGATTAAACTAAATATAGTAATTAGCAAAATACAAATGTAACGTATATGTAACGATACGTTCCATTTTTTAAACTGTAACGGGAACGAGTTCCTTTTTCACAGATGTAACTTGTAACGAGAACGCGTTCCAAAAATGAGAAGGAACGAGGAACGAGCTTTCGTTCCTTTTTTTGAGGAACGTGTACAACACTGTTACCAATCAGTTGTCTTGTGTGACCTGAAGCCACCAAATGAGTGATGCACGGACTCTTGGCACTCTCTTTCCCGGTAATCTCGTAGGTGCCGCCATTTTTGGTGTCTAGCGCAGAGGAACACAATTATGTTACGATTCGAGTATGGGACTTCCTGAGCTTCGGATACCGTATGGCGAAGTTCAGACAATAGCGTTTTTCACCTTCGCGGTCTGCTTCAACACTTTTAAAGGACGGAAGAGCGTTTCCTGCGATTTCGGGTAAACCTTCAGATAACTGGTTATAATGACTTTAAGGGAGGATGAGGTTGTTTTTTTTTGCTTCTTTTTATTTACGAATATATCTTACTCAAATGCAGTGCATAGATGTGTCCCTTTAAGCTGGCTTTGAATCTACAATCAGATTTAAAATTTGTTTTGTTGAACAAAAGATACAACAAAATATATAATAGAATATTTATAAAGAGTTATTAATTATTATAAATAAATGACAATTGTGAAAAGAAATTAAATGTCACAATAATTGCCTTTAGTTGCAGCTAATTACCTTTTATATACCGAGAATGGGGCAATAAATAAAGCTTCGGGATGCAGTTGAGTTACGGTCGAAAGCAACGATACCAATTTTCCTGAAATCTATTGATGAGGACATTGTCAAAAACCGCAGTAAAGCGATGGCACTTTACAAAAGAGTCAAAGGACTCCGCAAGGTTTCTCCGATATACTTTGGAATTCAGCTTCGTGAGACTCAAAATTTCCGATTTATTTTTCTTTCTCTTTTTTTAATAGCTAGAGTTTAATTGATTAATCATACTTTGTGGGAAGATAGTCTGGACTGTAGCAATCTCAAAAGCGTTAATAAAAAAAAAAAATTACAATTTTGTAATTTTTTGTTATATAAAGATTTGTTACTCCGAAACGTAGCTTATATGTGTGGACCCTATAGGTTAATTAAGCGTCACTTTCTCGATGACAATCCTCTCCTCTTTGGGCTTGGCGTTTCGAGTTCAGCGCCATTCGCGGGCACGACTAAACGTCCAACGGGACTCGTGTGACGCGTCGGAAGAGTGGCCGAATACGACCAGACGCTGACCAGTAACGTCGTCATGATGTGCGTTCGCGGAATCCCGCGATTGACCGGTGCCTAAAACAGATTCGGATTTTTTGTTCTTCTTTTTCGACGTTTCGACGACTTGTCGGACGTTTTGTCGTACACGTGTTTAGGCTGGTGTCCCGAATGGGAAGGCACGAATTTATACTTGTTACATTGATCGCCCGCGGCTTTAGGTTCTCCGAGATTGGTTTTGTGTAGAACTGACTACGATTTCGATTATAATTCTGCTTGATATATGATAATCCGATTATTGGTAAGTCATTGGAGAATTAACTCCTTGTCCGCAGCTCATTTATCATTTCTTTGCATATTGCTGAATGCGGCGGGTTCGCACACAGTAAAGCAAAGTTTTTTTGTTTTTTTTTAGGGGCGAAGTTTTTTGGGGGTGAAGCTCCTTGTCCGTCCGGTGTCCGTGCTCACATCGACTGCCATCCTATCTGTCTTCTTAAAAATAAAAATAAAAACAAATGTTTGCGCAGTCGATAGGATTCGAACCTGTGCGGGGAGACCCCAATGGATTTCTAGTCCACCGCCTTAACCACCCGGCCAAGACTGCGGGACGTGTTGGGGGCTCTGAGATGTGGTAGTAACTCAAGAGCTGGGGATGTCATGGATGACACGTTGCATATAGCCGCTCAACGTCTATACAGGAGAGGGCGCTGCGGTCAAATGCGTATATAATCGCGTTGACTTTGCATGCGTTGACTCAACGTTTATAGACGAGAGGGCGCTGCGGTCAAATGCTCAAATGCGTATATAACCACGTTCCATACCACACATTCTCTTTCTGACATGGATGAAAACGAACGAAAATCTCAGCATGCTGCGGCTCAGCGTCTACGCACCACCAGAGCTTCGCCCCAATAAACATCATTCACCACGTGGAGATGCGGTCTTTTTTTATATCTTAATAGTTTTGTTGATTTGATATTGCAGGTTTGGCTCGAGGTGACTTGTCGTCTGCCTGGACAAGCTCAGCAGCTTGAAGACATCTGCGGCTTCCACTGTTTTTAATAAATGACCGAATAAGTTGTGACTACTAATTTCAAGTGTGTGTGGTTGTTTGGCTCGCCTTTTGTTGATCGATGAAGGGCTATATAGTTCTTGACCGATGTCATCGTGAATTCTACATTGAAAATCAACGAACACTTCGTAAGTGCCCGAGCAGTTTTAAAGCATTTCATGCGCTGCATTGGATAGGTTCTTGACTCGTGTTTCATACTTGTTGCGGCAAGGATATTTAGATAGCTTGTATATCTCGGCGGACAACAACTTTCTACCGCCGAATATTTAAGACATCACGGCGATTACGAAACAAAAATTAATAAATAAACGTCGCGATTTTACAACATTTATGTGACTAAAATAAATAGAGGCGCTTCTGTTGGTTCGTTCAACATTCGTGTTCTTTTTCCGATTCTTAAAGCCGTATTTTCTAATTGGCTCTTGTTTCTAATTGCGTTTCAAAATCTCCCGAGAATAACTACTGCTGTTGTCGTTTACCAAGAGAAACCGGGTTGTCGGTAAACGCTTCCGTGACATAGATAATGACAAATCTGTCCACGGACAAAGCATTACAGTTTTAGTAGACCGTACTCTGCGGATTGCGTACGAGCTCCCGCTTGCAACGCAAAAATCTAGCGTACGGTCTACTTTAGCTACTAAAAGTGCCTTACAGAGACCTTTAGTAAACCGTACGCTAGAGCTTGGCGTTGCTAGCGGGAGTTCTTGCCGTCACTTTGAAGCACGGATTGAGCACGCGCCCTCTAGGGGCGCAATCCGCCGCAAACGATCTACTAAACCTCTCTACCATTTTATTAGCGCCAGCAAGAATCCGAAGGACAACACAACTACACAAAGTATCAAATTTCGTCCCCTTTCAAGCGTTCGTTATTTTTACCGCGATTCTTGTCGTGACACCTGATTTCTATTTTGGTCGTTGCGGGAGGAATCATAATACATGGATCGTTCAAAACTCGGTTTACGGTGTTTCACTGCAAGAAAACCCAATGTAATCGATAGAAAAGGTGTTTTTGTGTGTATGTGATTTTATTCCGACGGGCGTTCCAAATGTAAACTCATGTAGCACACACGCGCGAGCTTGTGCTCATACGTGCTTGCTCGCACGAGCAGAACGATCCTGTAAAACATAAGTCTCTCGATTAACGCTTTGCTAAGTTTCGAAAGCGATTGACGTGCCGACGCGCTCTCTCATTGACCAGCGCCGGCGTTCCATTTCCAGTTAGGAAGAACATGGCGGATTTGACTCGACCTCACTCTCGAGTAGTTGTTTGGTACCTTGGCCTACGCTCGAAAACCTACCCGCGTGCAGCGTTGTTCTTTCTGGATTGTCACATAACACAACCCGCCGGAGTAATTCGGAAGATTTTGAACACAGCCATGGTTGGCGAGTTATATCCCTGTTACGCGGTCATCCATAACTACAGTTAAGCTGAGTGCAGTTACTCTTAAGAGGAGTTTTGCGCAGTTATACGGCTGACCAAACTGCAGTTAGCACGAAACCATGGCTAACGCAAACCGAGCTCCAGGATCGCAGTTTGGCTTCGCTAACTGAGCTAAAGATGGCGACGTCCACAGCATTGCCGGCTATCGAAGCGCTATTTTGGAACGCCAGGGTACACTCCTAGAACGAGCCATGGTGACAAATGTCGCGGAAAGAAAGATGTCTCGGAGACAAATATACAGCAAAAACAATCACGCCCAGTCTCGAAACTGGGCGAAGCCCGCGCTTGTAGCGCGCTGCCATTGATTCTGGTCGATGGCATTGTGGCTTCCCTCGTGTCGCCCATGTTTGTATTTATTTTAGGGGTCTTGATAATCGTTTGTTACGCACTACAAATAAAATTATGGGTCCAATTGCTCCTTTCAAAGAGTTAAAATGGATATAAAAAACGTGCCCTTGATCTGAACATGGGACATTGCAGTTGGTTTTGTTTTGGCTTCAACTGCAAGCAAAATGGCCGTGTAACACCATCTCAGTTCAGTTTGGTCAAACCACGCTTAGCGGCCGCGAAGTGCCGTTTGCTTAACCACAGTTAAAACGGCCCGTGTAGCTAGGGTATTAGGAAGAACATGGCGGACCGCGCGCTTACAGACGACAGCAGCGAGGGGAGTAAGGCGGGAGAGGGGGACTTGTCGCTGCCTCGCATAGCGTTCGTCTAGGAACGTTGCGTTGAACAACCTCCAAGTCAGCAGCTCCTCCACCTTTTGCTTTCTTTGGTTGTGATAGGAATGTAATGCAGGAAAGTTCAGCGTAATTTCACATGTTTCAGAAATACTTTGCAGTGCAGTTTGATTAGCCTTTATTAATCGGTTTAAATTGTTAGAATCATTTTGCCGCGTCAATATGTTACAGAATATTTAAAAAAACATGCGCTTTGATTTCAGTAGAAGGTATTAGCGAGGCATTTCGATTTGTTTTTGTTTTTCTTGTCAGTTTTACTTGTTCGTGGTTATTCAATCAGTATGCATCCATGGTGTTAACGATAACATAAGCCATGGTAACTCTTTACCGCCAGACGTGGTGCAGATAATGCTAGAATAAAAAAAAAGACACGCCGAAGACACTTAAGACTGCTTACGTGTAGGAATGCTTTCGCATTCCTACATGGAGCGCATTCCTACAAGCAGCGCGCCACGTGTTCCTTTAGCACACGGCGCTCCGGCGGTGACATCACGCTCCCCCACTGCGCAAGCGCGGCGCCCCCGCCGACTTCACTGATTCCGTGACGATGCATCTGCGCTGCTGCGCTTTTCTTTGAGTTTTATTTCTGGGGCGCGTCCGCTTTCACCTTGAGCGGCGCGTACTTGCGTATTTTTATGGCCATCTTTCGCGCACAACGCAGACGCCGCCTTTTCGCGTAAGAACCCATATAAAACTTTCGCCTAAAAACAAAAAAAATAAAAGAAGCTTTTTTTTTTTTTTTTTTGCCTTTGCAGAAGTGTGGGCTTTGTGCAATAATGGGTAGGTTTCGTACACCTTAAACCAGCGCTTTGTGTTGCTAGCGGGGCCTTGTGTCGTCACTATGAGCATGGCTTCGGCACACGGCCGCGGGGCCTGCAATCCGCAAAGGGCAGTGATGTGGTTGCTGCGCCATTTGCGCCAAGTGCTTACTCTCTTACATCTTCTACACTTTAGCAGAATGTGAGGAATTGGCGCCAACATTGCGCCAAAACTTAATTTCACATTTATAATAGTGAATACATAATACCTCGGGCATCGCTACCCGGCCGGGTCGTTACGATACCCTTATGCGAGTTTCCAGAACTTTGGGTTATCACTTGAAATAACATACTTTTCGATTTCATTTCGTATCAATAACATACTTTTCGTTTCGTACTCGGGAGTTTCACAACGCACTGGTGTACTGCAGAGAAGCGACAACTGTGGAGTAGGCATCGCGATTTCACGTGTCGTGCTTCGCCGCAGCGCACCCGCTTGCTGTGGAGAAAGCACTACAGAGCGAGACGCGACGCAATTTCGGAATACAACTTTGGCTCGTGTATATGCTAGACTGCGACATCGTGGTAGCACCTTTTTTCTTCAGTTCGAGATTTAGCAAAAATACTTTGTTATTGCATAAAGATCTATATGCACTCTTTTTTTTTTTTTTATGCCAACACTTGTTTAGTTATCACTTTTATATAGGCGTGAGTAAGCTGGAGCTAAATTGGCAGGAGCAGTGGATAGAAGCTTAGGAAGGACCTAAACGAGTTCGGCGGGGTCGGTTCTAAGAAGGAATTTTAATCGCTTGCATGCCAATATTTGTTGCGAAGTTCCACGTATAAAATGTAATTGGTGTTCATAGTTAAAAAGCAAGTGTTCTGTTTTTATCTCAGTTATAAATTACAATTTTCTTACGAGCTCTAGAACTCGAGGTAAACAGTAATTTAAGTGCCCAAAAATTATAGTATTCTAGCAGTATTGCGGTGGAATGTAGTACGTAAAATAACCATTTACAGCAGTCTGCGCTGCCCTTCATCAGCCATCTTGTTGGCGTATCCGCTGCTTCTCCGCGCAACAAGACGCTAGTTCTGTGCTTGAGGGAATCGCTCCTGATGTGCAATCGATGCTAAACAAAGGATTGCTCGTAAGTGAAAAGGAAAAGTAGACATTGCCTTTTAGTTGGACAGGCGGACACATTAATCTTAACAAAATATTTAGGCTGATATAAATGAAAATTAAATGTGCGCTCGTGGTCCAAAAGCTCTTTTTGCTGTTCCAAACTTGACTTTTGGCTGAATCTACGAAAAGTCCCTAAAACATATATATGGACCTATTGACACGCTGTTTACAAAACAACTCGGTGTTTGCTCACACCGGGTGGGGGCACTGCTCGCGCCCAAAAAGCAGTTTTCTCCGAGACCGAAAATACTAACCATATCACGCATCGTCGACACGAATCGAATCATTGTCATTGAAATGACAAAAAAACCGACGTGGCAACTGTGTAACCTCTAAAGTCTGCTTTCTTACATGCGCGTTTTGAATGCGACCGACTGCGTTACGACCGCTTGCGACGAGCGTCACCGTGGCAACTAAGGGCCGGGCATTGCGTTGCACTGTGTATTCAGTGCAGCGCAGTCAACGCAGATGTCTGAACCAATGCAGCGAAGGTTACGTAAACGGATCCGCACAAACCTCCAGATCGACGCGCGCCTACTCCTCCTGTTCATTCCGGCTTTATATTGCCTCTCAAGTTTAGTTCCACCAACTTTTTTCGTCTTTTCCTTCTTTATTCTTGAATGTACCCTGAGTATGCCGAAAAGCCTCGAGCCGGGTCGCTACTGATGCGAAACCAGCCGCCTTCTTGTTCTGATTCCGTACACACACACACACAAAAAAAAAAGGGCATTTAATATTAACGTTTTTCTTTTCTTCTCCGCGTACTATAATATGTAGGTGCACGGGCGCGTGCGTCTGTTCGGCGTGCGGCGGCTTGTCTGTCTGCCGTGCCGGTCGTGTTAGACGCATCGAAGAGCAAATGCGCCCTGAAAAATTCACCACGTTGGGAGCCT